CTTTTTGCTTATGTGGTGCTGAGGAATCGAACCCAGGGCCTCAGGCATGCAAGGCAAGCGCCCTACCACTGAGCCAACTTCCCAGCCCTCATTTTTAAACTAGTTAGGAGTTTAATTTTAGATCCAGGAACTTGATAGTACGAATGATGAAACACTTGTAATAAAAATGTTGCAAGATATTTGCTCACTCTCATGGAATAAAAGAAAATCTTAACAGATTTTAGATATTTTTCATTAAAGGATAGTATAGTGAATAAGTCATATATATAATTTTGTTTATAAACATGTATGCATCAAAGCCTAAGGACTTAAAAATCATGAGACTGGAAACTTCATCTTAATTTATGGGTCAGGTTATTCTTTCACAATCCCTAACTTGCTTCATTTATCTACTTGGATTTCACTAACATCTGTTCTTATAAATTACACGAATACATACATTGTAAGAACTTTACCATGCTATTATATTTAGGACTTTTCATTTTTCTCCATGCATAATACCTCAGTAATACTTTTAAATTTTCTAGGTTAAAGAAACTTTTTACTTGAGTATGTTAGAGGTATACTAAATAAAAATGAATATACAGAATGCATGCATTCCTGTAATCTTAGCACTCAGCAGGCTGAAGCAGGATTATCTGTAGTTTGAAGCCAGCCTGTGCTACACAACCATACACATTCTCAATGTAGATAAATGTAAAGAGAGTTAAAATGTTGATAATCGTTAGACATCTCACACAGTGAGACTAAAGAAGAGTCTTAGGGGAGGAACACAAAGGCACAATGCCTATGTGCCTCTGATCACATAGTATGGAAATCAACTCCAAGAAATGGAAGCTAGAGGTTTGTTCTCAGTTGTTTTTATTTTATTTGTTCATTTTTCTGTCTTTGGGAGGGCAGAGGGAGACCCAGAAATGGAGGGACTAAGGGTGAACAAATGCAGTGTATACAACTTGTAGGTGCAAAGGGGAAGGGAAAAACTAGGAGTGAGGGAAGAGGTGACATTGCCCAAAAAGAAATGTACTCTTTGCCTGACTTATGTAACTGTATCCCCTCTGTACATCGCCTTTATAATAACAGTTTTTTTTAATGTTGGTAATAGAGATGAGTCATTACTCTGACTAGGAACAAAGATATAAATAACTTTTATCAAAATACAACATTTTGCTGTAAAAATTCCTTTTTAAGATTTTGTTCATGCATGTTTACTTTAAAAGTTACTTTCTTCAGTTAAGAATATTTAAACCAGCAGACAAAAGATAATCAAATGTCACATTGTTAAATAAATGGCTGTTCTCTGCTTCATGGGTTTTGTCAAGTCAAAGAATTAATTAACTTAAAAGTTAAATCTCTCAAAGTGCTAGTGGCTCATACCTGTAATCCTAGCTACTTTAGGAGGTTGAGATCTGATCATAGTTGAAAGCCAGCCCAGGCAGAAAAACTCATGGGAAACTTAACTCCAGAAAAGTCAGAAATGAGGTGTGACTTAAGTGGTAGAGCCCCAGTACTGTATAGTTTCTCAAAATTTCAATGTCACAGTGTGTTACTTTATTTAGAAAATACTTCAAAAGCCTACCTTTTGTTTTGGATTGTGACGGTTTTGTTTTTTAATAATATCTAATGTAACTATTACTTTACAGATGGCAGAAGATTTTTTCATTTAGTGTGTGGGGTAAAATTGCAACTTTTTGGAATAAAGCTTTCCTTACCATTATTGTCCTATTGATTGTTCTGTTTCTAGGTAAGTACTAGAACCTTCTTTGAATACTTTTTTTAATGATTTCCTTGTTTCTTATTGCTAAGTTGATGTTATTGATACAGTTCATATTATATAAAGTTAATATTATATAGTACAAATACTGATATTTTATGCATACTTGCTACAATATTCAGGAGCATGAAACTCATTGAAGTACAGTGATTTCTGAACTTTTAGATTATTTTTAGGTTTAAATGCAATAATGTATAGCCTACGTTTCAGAGTTACCTATGATTACCTTTGTTATAGTAACATCTTAGGCACTCAATGACTTAGCTGTTAGAGAGTAAAGGAATAGAACCTTAAATTTTCAAAAGGATTCTTGGAGCCAGGTGCTGGTGGCTCATGCCTATCATCCTTCCTACTCAGGAGGTTGATGTCTAAGGATCAAGATTCAAAGCCAGCCCAGGTAGGAAAGTCTTATCTTGAATAAACTACTCCAAAAAAGCCAAGTAGCACTGTAGCTTAAGTAGTAGAACACTAGCTTGTGAGCAAAAAGAACCACAAGGACATTGCCTACATTCAAGCTCCAGGACAGGCACAAAAATAAAAATAAAAGGATTCTTGGGAGCTTGCAAAAATTAGAATATCACATGATAGTTTAAAAAAATCTAGGGAGTTTTTGTTAACTTCAGTTAACTTCAGATAACAGTATGTTGTCTAGAAGCCTACAGTCTTATGAACTGAATGTTTATTGTAGGTAAGAGCCTGGGCACTGTCCTTAAGCTTTTTTCCTCAAGGCTAGCACCCTTCCACTTTGAGGCACAGAGTGTCACATCCAGTTTTCTGGTGGCAATTGGTTTTGAACAGCAATCCTGAAATCTCAGCCTCCTGAATAGCCAGGATTACAGGCATGAGCCACCGGTGCCCAGTAAACTCTTACTAGAACCATCCTGTGCTTGTTTGTTCACATACTGTCTATGCCTGTTTACATTGACAACTTGAGTTCAATAGTTGCAGCTATTGAGGCCTTAAAAAAAAAAGTTCCCTAATACCCTTATGTAAGAATATAAATATATCCTTAATCTGAGGAAATACATGCTGAAATAATAAGTATCATAATTTTTTCAACTTGACTCTCAACTGGTTTTTAAAAAGACAAAGATATGGGCTGAGAAGGTGGCTCAGTGGTAGAGTGCTTGCCTTGCATGCATGAGGCCCTGGGTCCGATTCCTCAGCACCACCTAAGCAGAAAAAAAAAAGCCGGAAATGGTGCTATGGCTCAAGTGGTAGAGCACTAGCCTTGAGCTGAAGAGGTGAGGGACAGCACCCAGGCCCAGAGTTCAGGCCCCTACGACCGGACCCCCCCCAAAAAAAACAAAGACAAAGATAGCAGATAGTCTTGAATTATAATCTTAATCCAGGTGGGATGAGTATCGCAATGTTTATTAAAGACTATTTGGGCACCCTTAACTGAAAATTCCAAATACAGAATCTTCCAAAATTGAAAAACTTTCCAACTCAGCATGATAACACAGTAGAACTGTCCACACCTGACCTTATATGAAAACTTGAAGTCAGATAAGCACATGAAAATCATAATTGCCTGGTGCTGGTGGCTCACACCTGTAATCCTAGCTGATCTCAGGAGGCTGAGATCTGAGGATCATGGTTTTAAGTCACCCTGGTCAGGCAAGTTCATGAGACTCTAATCTCCAATAAATCACAGAAAAAGCCAGAAGTGGTGCAGTGGCTCAAGTAGTAGAGTGCTAACCTTGAGCAAAAAGGAGCCCAGGGACAGCACTCAAGACCAGAGTTCAAGTCCTATAACTGACAATAATAATAATAATTGCTGGGTGCTGGTGGCCCACACGTGTAATCCTAGCCACTGAGGAACCTGAGATCTGAAGAACATGGTTTAAAGCCAGCCACGGCAGAAAGTATGTGAGTTATCTCCAATTAGTCTCCAAAAAGCTGGTGTTAGAGCTGTGGTTCAAATGATAGAGCACTAGTTTTGAGCAAAAGAACTCAGAATTCAAGCCCTAAGACTAGCACAAAAAAGAAAAAAAATGCCCAAGATTAACTTCACAATGTACATATTAGTTATGCATGAAAAATAAATGTTTCATGTTTCCATTTGAGTCTCATCTTTAAGATACATATATCAGATCTCAAACTTGTCATGGAATGGACACTCATGAGACCTGAAGTACATCTGAAATATTCGTGGTACATTATTTTAGAAATTAAATGTAGAGACTTATGGTTGTGAAAATAAAACTTCCATGGGCCCTTATAATCTCCCATTCTTTTAGAAGTAACTGAGCTCAGCGAAACTTGTCTAAGATAAGGTAGCTACTTTTCAAGTGTTACTTCCTGACACTTTAACTTGGATACAAGCACAAAGTTACATTTTTCTCAAAATTCCCTGGAAATTGTTCTGTTGTGGTTTAAATACTGGTAACCAACCTTACACTAACCACAGTTGTTTTATGAGAATATTTCATGTTCCAAGCACCACCTCCTGGAATAGAATTAGTCTTCTTTATGAAACTAAAATCTATTGTGACAGGGATAATTGTATCAGGTTGTAAATGGTTTTGTGTTGGGATCAAAATGTAAATATTTGCCATATGGTATGTTATTATGAATTGAATCTTCAGCCATATAAACATAATGAGCCAGAGAAGAAATAAAGAAAACAGGTCTTTACCCAGGCACAAACTAGCTAAATGGGCTGACATTTCATCTCTGTCAGATTTATTCATATATGAAATAAAGGGAGAAGTGGAAATAATCCCAGCAGCTTCAAGTAGTTCTAGAGAAGAACATTTTGAACTTCTCCAAAATTATCACCAAAATGTCTAATGAATATGAGGCTCCATTAGAAAAACTAAAGCAAAAGGGACTAAGTGTATTTTTCAAGCAAAAAGGCTCTATTAGACAAACTAAAGCAAAAGGGACTAAGTGTATCGTTCAAGCAATATAGTGCCTGCCTAGCATGCACAAGCCTTGAATTCAATCCTCACTCCCCCAATAAAATTATTGAGGTACTGATAACATAGTGTAACAGAGATGAATCTTGAATCATGTAAACAAATGTACATTAAAGGAAACAGACACAAAAGACCCGTAGTATATCATCTGTTCATATGAAATATTCGGAATAGGTAAAGTAGATTGGTGGTTCCCAACAGCTGGGGGAAAGGGAACACAGATATACATTTAGGGGAAAGTGTGGGGATATGTATATGTTTTGGGCGTGTTGTATCAGTTATACACTGATTTATATCTCAATAAAGCTATTATAAGGAATAAAGTTAGTGTCTTAATTTTTTAACTAGAATAAAATCTCTTCCTTTTGCATCAAAAAGAACCCTCAAGAATGTCAGTTGCCACAGGAAGATACTAACCACTTCTCTCTCCAGTGGCTTTTTTTTTTGGATCCGGTCGTGGGGCCTGAACTCTGGGCCTGGGCGCTGTCCCTCAGCTTTTCAGCTCAAGGCTAGCACTCTACCACTAGAGCCACAGCGCCACTTCCGGCTTTTTTTTTTTTGCTTATGTGGTGCTGAGGAATCGAACCCAGGGCCTCATGCATGCAAGGCAAGCGCTCTACCACTGAGCCACCTTCCCAGCCCCTCTCCAGTGGTTTTAAAACATGTCCTTTTCTATAACATATAAGAACTCAATGACTAAGAATGCACGGTATATGAGTGCTATTTTCCACTGCAAAGAAATAGTCTCTGTGGATCTGAAACTTATCAGAACTAAAATGATGAAAGGAACAGCTATCTGAATATTTCCAATAGCAGGTGATATCCATTTGCCAGTCTGGGAAGTATATGTTACCATACATCAAATCTCATTTTAACAAATCTCTACCAGTGGTAGAGATTGAGTATTATGAAGTGTTTTTAAAATCTGTTATTTAAAGTAATAGTAGATGGTATAAAAATGTAAATACTATAAGAGCAATGGAAGTCTCTTGGAATTAATTGTAATGAGATTATGTTACTGTCAATAAATTGAATATTAGTCACTTTTATCAATAGAAAGATTAAAAGATACTAGTTTGCAGAATAGCAAGAGGTGACAGTACCATGATGGTGAATCCTAGATGTATGATCAAAAAATAAACATGCTACAGTAATTCATAATGTACCTGCTTTGAACATGATTACCTCCCAGGTTCTAAAAAATGAAAGACAAAAGAAAGCCCCTGCCTAAATTCCATTATTCAAAAATTTAGTAAATACTTCTTAAATCTGCTCATTTTTAATAATTTTATATTCTTAAAAACTAAAAGTAAGCCGGGCACAGTGGCTCACACCTGTAATCCTAGCTACTCAGGAGGCTGAGAACTGAGGATCATGGTTCAAAGCCAGCCCGGGCAGAAAAGTCTGTGAGACTCTTATCTCCAGTAAACCACTAGAAAACCGGAAGTGGTGCTGTGGCTCAAGCAGTAGAGCACTCACCTTGAGCTGAAGAGCACAGGGTTAGCGCCCAAGCCCAGAGTTTAAGCCCCACGACCAACAAAAAACAAAAACTAAAAGTAAGCTGTGCTGTGTGCTGGTGGCTCATGCCTATAATCCTAGCAGCATAGGAAGCTGAGAGCTAAGGATAATAGTGCAAAGCCAGCCCAGGCAGAAATGTCTGTGAGACTATTCTATCTACAGTTAACCAAGTGGAGCTGTGGCTCAAGTGGTAGAGTGCTAGTCTTGAGCAAAACGTTCAGCAATGGTACCCAGGCCTTGAGTTCACACTACAGAACCCACACAAACAAAAAACGTAATGTTTTATATGTTTCTGTAATAGATGCTGTGAGAGAAGTAAGGAAATATTCCACTACTCCTGCCTTGGAAAAGAGCACAACCAACAGACCTGGTGCCTATGAACATTCACAGATGAAACTTTTTAGGTCCCAAAGAAATCTTTATATCTCTGGATTTTCATTATTTTTTTGGCTGTAAGTAACAGAAAAAAAGTAGATCAAAAATTTAATATACTGTTAAGGATTAGGTTTTCTTCATCTTATTAACATCTTCATTACTCAGATGGCCTCAAATGATAAATACTTAGTTTGTAGGTCTGCTAGGCCAGAGCCTTGAATGCTCCTGTGTGTACAGTATATTCTACCCCGACTCAGTATGGCTATTCATTTCTTCATTCTTATAGACTTTTATGCTATACTTTGCTCCTTACTTTGGGTCTTAAATAGATTTACATGTACATGTATATATAAAGGTATGTGTGTATTGATATGTGGGTATGTATACACACACACACTATTGGAAATTTTTTATTAACAGATGTAACTGTTCTATTGCTGCAACTAAAAATGACCACAAATGACTGGCTAAAACACACAAATTTATTAACTTACATTTTGGTAGGTTAGGATAAGATCACTCTCATTGGGGATGGTTTTCTTTAGAGCATCAGAAACAACATTTACTTGTCTAAGAGACCACCCACACTGACTAATTGTTGAGAATCAACCATGTTACATCAATAAAAATCTCCATAAAGTTACAGTTCTTCAAATTACTCTAGTTATGAATTCTTATATACCTTTTTTTTCAGAGTGTTGAGACGTCTGGTTACACTTATTACTCAGCTGGCAAAAGAACTATCGAACAAAAGCGTGCTTAAAATTCAAGCAGATAATACTAATAAGGCTGCCAAAAGATTCATGGAAGAGAATGAAAAACTAAAATGGGTATGTATTTTTTTTATAACTGTGTAAATGTTATTGGTATCCCAAAAGAGTTGCATAGTGCTTTTCAGCATCAAAACATGTTTCACCTGTAATCCTACCATTAGGGAGATTGAGGCAGTCAGATCCACAAGTTCTACCTTAAACTACATAGTGAGTTTCAAACTAGGATACAGAGACCTTATCTAAATAAATAAATACCTGCATTTGCATAATTTATTAGCAGAAAGTGGCTGTCCCTAACAATATTGTCTATGGAATGACTCTTTCAGAAGTATTTTTCTATTCTTCCCATACTTTCCATCCAAAGTAATTTAATGCTATTGGACCTATTCCCTATGACTGAAGGAGAAAAGTGTTGTAGAAATATGAAGTTCAATTCCCTCATTACCATTAATTTTTATCTCATAACCAAGAGTAAATCTTTTTATTTCTTTTCACATAATGTATGATTGGTTTATGTAGAAAATAGGGAGAAGTCTTTAATGCTATATTGACAGTTAAACATATTTAAAGTCTTTAATTTGATAATGCTGAAGATCTTCTTTCTTTGAGAATCCTATACTTCCCTTGCTATTCAGGGAGACTGTGCATCAGGTACTGGCATTTTCCCTATTAACTAAAAAGATGGAAATATTAAAGACAAAAAATACATTAGTATGTTTTTTTATTATTTAAAATTTAGGACTCAGCTCTCAGTAGTTTCAGTGTTTTCCATTCATTTTAAACCCTGTAAGTTTCACTAATCTCCTTCAAGAAGTAAAATTTCTTGAAGAAAATGTCCTAAAATAATGCAGTAAAATTGTTACAAATTAAATGTTAGCAGTTAGCACTGGAATAAGAGAAAACCCATTTTGAGCCCAGCAAATGTATTAAATTATTTAAGTCCTAAAACCCAGACTCTTATACAAAAAACGTGAAGTACCACTTTTCATTAATTTGGGATTTTCATTTATTTATTTGTTCTTGTAGTACTCTGGTTTAAGCTCAGAGCTTTATATTTGCTAGGCAAGTGCAATTCTACTTGAGTGATGCTTCCCCCCTCCTTTTTATATTGCTGATTTTTAAATCTCTTTTCACCCAGCTTCCTGGACTACAGTCCTATTTACACATCCCACAATGGCTGGGATATGTAATACCCAGGTTTTCTGTTGAGTTGAGGATCTCTCAAATACCCACCCTTCCAAACTGGCCTGGAACCATGATCTTCCCTGTCTCTGCTTCACTTGTAGCTGGAATGCTAGCCACATGCCACCATGACCAGCTTTTATTGGTTGCATTCAGGGCTGGAGGGGTGGGGTTCCCATGAACTTTCTGCCTAAAGCTAGCCTTAAAATGTTCTCGGCCTCCCAAGTAGCTAGGATTACAAGTGTGAGCCATTGTGCCTGGCTGGTTTTTCTGTTGTTGTTGTTGTGTGTGTATGGTTGGTTTGTCTTTAACAACAGTGCTGGCTTTGGAACCCATAACCTAAGTGTGCTAGGCAACTCTACCACTGAACCATGCTCTTAGCCACCTTTCACCAATTATAAATGAAATGGCTAGTAAGTGGTTACAATAGAAGGCTTTTCAAACCTTTCTTCCCCCCCCCCCCCCCCGCAGTGTGTGAGGCTTTGAAAACTAATCCTAGGCATTGTCCCTGAGCTCTTCAGCTCAAAGTGAGCGTTCTACCACTTGAGCCACAGTACCACTTCCAGTTTTCTGGTGGTTACTTTGAGATCAGAGTCTCACGGACTTATCTGCCCAGGCTGGTTTTGAACCATGATCCTCAAATCTCAGCCTCCTGTGTAGCTAGGATTACAGGTGTGAGCCACCAGCACCCAGCTCAAACCTTTTAAATAAAGCAAAACTGATTGCAAAATATGAATTATGCTGTACTATCATTATCTAGAAAGTCTAAGCCTATATTTTACTTTTCATGATATTTAACTCATTTATACTATAACAAAAAACATGAATACTCTTTTCATAAAACACAGAATTCCACTGTTTCTTTGAGTACATTGTTACCAGCATCTCTTATGGACACTTACAGAATATAAAAACCAGTGTATTTTGCATTTCCTTATTCAATTTTGAAAAGATATTAATCCATTGATGTCTTCTAAGTATCCTTTTATGGTAAATATAGTTTTTAGACAACAAGATGATGATATGTTCTGATAAGTCACTTTTGTTTTTTGAGGAATGCTTCATCAACAGTCAACTTCATTTATACCTTAATGCTATTTGCCTCATTTTCCATTTTTTGGTCTCAGTCCACAAAGGTAAAAACAAAACTGTAATACTCAAAGCTTTGACTACTGCATGATGATTAAATCAAAAGTAAACAACTTTGGATTTATGAAAATATTTATGTATCCAAATTGCTTTAAAATTAGACACATCACCTTATAGTAATGAATTGTAACTACTGTTAGGATACTGCTTCTTTTCTCTTCAGTTGTTTTTTTCTCTTATTGAGCTATAAGAAATCAAGATTTTCAATTTTTGATACTAGCATACTATATATACTCTATTATTAATGTACTTAAACTAGTTGTGTCCTTCAAAAGAAAAAAATTACCATCTTTAAAGCAATTTTGAGACTTTTCTTTTGGAATTATTTGCAAACATAGTTACCCTTGCTAGGATTTATTTTTATGTTCAGATTTCCTTGATCTCCCACTTATTTTGTAGAGGAGGGGGTGTTTTGTTTGCTTTGATTTAATACTGTCCTAGTTCCTTGCTTTTTGAATATATGACTTAAGTCATTGGTCTTAAAACCATCAAATTAGACAGATATGCTGAGCTAAAGCCACTATGCATTGAAGTTTGTAAACTAAACATAAATACTGTCGGTGTTCAGAGTATATCTAATTGACCAGTAACTGGTCAATAAAACCCCAAATGAGAATGTCAAGAATGACTTCCAGTCAAGCATAGTGAATGCTCTCATAATCTCTGGCTCTTGAGAGGCAGGGACAAGAGGATCATTAGTTTGAGATCAGTCTGGGCTAGTGGGACCCTGTCTCTAAACAAGAAAAAAAAAGAAAAATACGTGTGTGTGTGTTTGTGTGTGTGTGTGTGTGTGTGTGTGTATGTGTTGCCATTTCAAGCTGATTTGTGTGTGGGCTTTGAAGAAGAATAAAGAATAATAAAATTGCCAAAATATCGCAGAAGCATATAATATGGTAGAAAGTGTGTTCATTGTTCTGCAGTCCAGGAGACTTGGATGCCAGTTCCAAAAGTACCAGTAATTAGCAAAGTGACCTAGGGCAAGTTATGTTCTGAGCTTTAAGGTTCCTTGGTTATAAACAATAGTTAATACGATGCCAAGTATTACTTCAAGTGCTATATATTAAGGAAAGGATAAACTCCTAATTCTCACAAGAATCCCATGAGGTTTGTATTCATCTGCATTTTGTAGATGAGGAAACATAGGCACATAAAGGTCAATGACATTCACAAACTTAGTGACAGAAAATTCAAATCTAGGTAGCCTGACTCTAAATCTAAACTCATAGCCACAGTGTTTTGTTATGTTGTCTGATAAAATGACTCCTTTCTGTTCTTACACTTAACTTAGAGAAATAATTATAAAAGAATTAAGACAAATTCTCGATATGTAGTCCAGGCTGGTCTTGAACTCAAAATCCTCCTGCCTCAGCTTCCCTTATGTGGAATTACAGTTGTGTGCTACAAGGACTATCTAATTATAATTTAGCCTTAAAATGAGTATGTGGAACTTTACTTCTGACTTTCTCATCACACCAAGATGAGATAGGATGGGTGAGACAGTAAACACTTGTGGTACTGAGTAAGTTTCAGATTCCAGGGCATTTAATCTTTCTCCAGCATAAAGTTACACATAATAAATTTGGACAAATTTACAGGTGCAGTAATGAAAGCTTATTCACAATACTGACACAAATCCAACTTTTCCACGTCAGTGGCATAATCAGTCAAGCAGTCACTGTAAATATTCTGGCATCTCAGTGGTTGTCCAATTTGGGTAATCACTAGAGACTGAGTGAACTGAATTCACTGCAGCAGCAACAGCTAGAGTTGTTTTGTACTTAAAGTAAACAACAAATTAAAAATGGCTTGGAAAAAAATTTTGTCTGGTCTTTATAATAAAAATCCTTAATTTCAAAAGGCCTGAGGCTATTTCTACTTTAGAACCAACTTCAGTCTTCCATTTTCTAAAGAATCCCTCTGTCTTTCTGTGTGTGTGTGTGTGTGTGTGTGTGTGTGTGTGTGTGTCTGTCTGTCTGTCTGTCTGTCTGTCTGTCTGTCTCTCTCCTGGGGCTTGAACTCAGGGTCCTGATTTTTTGTGTGTGTGTGTCTACTTTTCTGTTAAAGCACAATAGCCTTATGCATCAGATCTTACGCTCTTGTCCTTATCCTTTCTACTAGAAGAAGACTGGTAACTTAAGAGCAGAAAAAAATGTGTTTCTATTACATTTTTATCCCTTAATAGTTCCTTGCACTTAAAATATTTACAAATATTTTTTACTAGAACTTTTGTGAGTTTTGTCTATTAAACACATCAATTTACATTTGAAAATGAACCACCCTACAATAAAATTCTTCTCTGATGTCAGTCTGTTTTAAATTCTCCCCAGTTGCTCTTTTACCTGACATACAAGCTATCACTATCAAGTTGCTGCCAGTTTTTTTAGTTTACTGACTCAAGTCAGTGGGCACATATTTTTGTCTTGGTTTTACTATTCAGCTTTTAAGTAGCGCTTAGAAAAGAAACTACAAACCTTTTTAGAACTAGAATAGATTTTTTTTAAAGAAAGCATTGTAAAAGATGATTTGTATTAAAATTAATTTGGAAGCTGTTCAATAAAAATTAAATAAAATTTTCCAACCACTAAAGTGGCCCTGTCATTTTCCACTTACCCATATTGATCGTGATATTGTTCCAAATTTGTATAAAAGCAGTCTGATACCAGGTGCTGGTGGCTCATCTCTGTAATTCTAGCTACTAAAAAGGCTGAGACCCAGAGTATCCCAAACCAGCTCAGACAGAAAAGTCCATAAAACTCCTATCTTTAACCAGCAAAAAGACAGACTGAGGGGCTGGGAAGGTGGCTCAGTGGTAGAGCGCTTGCCTTGCATGCATGAGGCCCTGGGTTCGATTCCTCAGCACCACATAAGCAAGAGCGCTAGCCTTGAGCTGAAGAGCTGAGGGACAGGGCCCAGGCCCAGAGTTCAGGCTCCACGACCGGATCCAAAAAAAAAAAAAAAAAGACTGGCATAATACCAGCTAAGCAACCAGACTGAGTCCAAACCTCAGTGACAAAAGAAAAACACAGTCTGAGTAGACTACTCTGTTGTCAACAATGTTTTGCAATTAATATGAACCTCAGAACTATTCTACTTTCTTTAAATTTATATTACATAGTTAATTGAGAAAAATACTCAAATAATTTTGAAAACATAATTTTTATTGTAACCTAGTCAGAAATTCCTTTTTATTGTACAAATACCATTCATAATAGATCTTTTCAGATTGTTTGCCAAATATCAAATTTCTGCTAGCAAAAGTACCTTGTAGAAAATTTTAAAATATTGAAAAGAACAAAGCAATGAAGATCAATATTGTTGAATAATTAGCCAGACTACTTCATGTAAGATTATCTAGGTACTGTAAATTAAGCTTACTTCTTCCTATAACTCTTGTGATAGATTCTGAAAAGCCAGGACAAGGATGGAGGACACATTTTGGAAGCTGAAAATAAAAAACTAGTAGAAGACCAAGAGAAACTGAAAAGTGAATTAAAGAAGACCTCAGATGGTAACTTTGTGTGCTTGAGAAAGAGAGGAAATACTAACATTTTTTTTCAGCTGTTGCACTTCACTGTTTTACCTTAAACAAAACTAATGCCTGAATGTCCTTTGTACTCAGAATGACCTATTTATAAATACTAGCTCAAATGTGAAGATAAAACATTGTTGCAGCCAGAAGAAACATGTTCTGTTATTCAGAAAAACATGTAGGTGTTTCAGATCTGTGTTGTAAACACAAATGTTCTTGCCTTAGCAAAAGAGCTATGTTCCTGAAAAGTGGCTTATAAACATACTTTTGTAAAATGAGTCACATATTTCCATCCTATATTAACTTCTTTTGTAGAAACATCACAAGGTTATAAGAAAGAATATTGCTTATCTCAAATCTTGGTATTTCATACGCACTGGATAAAAAAGACAGTTTTCCTTCAGAAGGAACAGCAATCTGGAATATCAGCCAGGAATTTCAAGCCTTATTTTCTGTGGGTTCAAAATGGGATATCCACACATGGATATATATTTTTTTTTTTTTTTGGTCGGCCGTGGGGCTTGAACTCTGGGCCTCGGCGCTATCCCTCAGCTCTCCAGCTCAAGGCAAGCGCTCTACCACTTGAGCTACAGCGCCACTTCTGGTTTTTTTCTGGTGGTTTATTGGAGATAGGAGTCTCACAGTCTCTCCTACCCGGGCTGGCTTTGAACCTCGATCCTCAGATCTCAGCCTCCTGAGTAGCTAGGATTACAGGCGTGAGCCACCAGCGCCCGGCTCATGGATATATTTTTAATGTAGCCATAAATAACATTTTTAAAAATCTAATACCGTTACCTTCATAGTTAAGAAAGTATTATTTGCAGTTACATAACATAGTAGATAACCTAAATCCAAAGTCATTTGAGAATTGCTGGGTCCAGCAACATTTTTGTTTATACAGACAAAAATGACTTCTTGTTAGCCATATACTAGGGTATCTGTCAGCCACTCAGGATTATGGTGGTCAGAGTTAAAGTAATGATCTTTGTTAGACTTTCTCCAGTTTCAAATCTAACCAGTACTTAAATTTTCAGAAACATATGATCTATAGCTTATTCACACAAAAATGATATTTTCCATGTAAACTTTTTTACCTTTGATTTTTTTCAATCTAATAAGTAAAATATTTTCTCTTAAAGTATTAGTAAAATAAAAATGTAAGTACAAAGGTTTTTGAGCTGATTAGTCCAAAATTAATTTGAAAGTAAATAAGAAAATATTCATTTTCTGAATCAGTCATACCATGTTACATATGCAAGTCTAGGTAGCTCTCAGTATAATAGAAGTAGCTCTCAGTATAATAGAAGTACCTTATAATAAAACTTGTAATTATTGAGTACTTATTTATATTGTTTGCAAAGAATTTACTTCATCAGAATATATTTGAATCTGAAACTGACACTAATTCCATAAGCTAACTCCAAAGCAAAAATCTGTATGAAGATATTTCTTGTGATAGGAAATTCTTTAGCCACTTTCTTATTTTTTCACTTACAGCTAAAAGAAAAGATGCTAATTTAGAGGCACTAAAGTAAATTACCCTTCAAGAAAAAATAGTACATTGTATGATTGTCAGAGTATATTCCCAAATTCAAGAATTTGTTGTATTTACTACTTTTGGTTGTTCTGTAATTTAAAACATTTAGACATAATTAAGAAATTTTAACATTTATATGCAGATGAATTTAGTAGTCCCCATCCACTACTTCCTTCTACATGCTGAAGGGAAAGCATGGTTTTGTTTTGTTTCTTTAACCCTACAGGAAACATTGTTACTTTTAGAGAATACAAGGAACTATTTCAAAAAGCTTTTAATTAACAATAAAAATAGTCTCAAATGTTTTATTATTATTATCAAGGATCTCTTTTTCAGATTTTAAACAATTGGTACAAAAATTAGGCTTTATGCCTTGCTATTATTGTCTTAACAAAGTCAATTTAGTTTCTTCATTTGCTCTAAAAATTTTCAATTCTGGGATATTTTGAGCTTCAGCTTCCTAAGTCTGAAATACAAATAATCCCCAATATTACATAAGTATTTCTTTGAAGGACAAATTGAATGTTTGGAGAAAATAGATCCTTTGATGTTATAGACATAGTGTTTATAATCTGATAACAAGAGATACCAGTACAGTGTTTGAAATACAGACTGTGCAACTACTTTGAGAGGGAATCAGTGTTGAGGTAAAAGCAAACTACCTGTTTAACTATGTTTTGTTTGGTTCCTGCAAGATGTGAAATAATTTATGAGCACATTTTATTTAACCAAAGTTGTTTTTTATATAAATTTTAATGACCTTGAGGAGCTCAGAGGTTCTATGTTCTTTAAAAAAAGTCTCTTTGGCTATATTCTTTTGACTTTGACCATAGAATTTAATGAAGACAAGAACTAACAAATTATATCAAGTAATAGTGTAGATCAACTAATAATAATATAGATCAACTAATAGTATAAATTTATCAATACAATACTTTGTACAAAGTACCACTCAAAAAAATACATTCACTGATTTCTAGAAGTTGAATGTCCTAAGGTGGCAATGCAAAAAAAAAAATCAGAAAGATCTTTTTAGACGTGGGTAAAAAGTATGATTCATATTTTATATATGCAAAGAGAATGTTTTCCATGTGAATTTTCTTACCCTTGATTTTTTTCTTTGATCTAAGTGGAATAATATCTCCCAATATGTTAGTAGAAACAGTGTAAGTACAAAGGTTTATTTAAGTTGATACTAGCCCCAAATTAGAAAAATGATGTTCTGAAAGCAGTTATTAGCAGGGCAGCATTGGCTCGTTCTTGTAATCAACCCTAGCTACTCAGGACACTGAAATCTGAGGATCATAGTTCAGAGCCGGCCCAGGCAACAAACTCAATGAGACTCTCCTCTCACAATAAGCCGGAAGTGGAGCTGTGGTACAAGTAGTAGAGTGCTAGCATTGAGCATAAAAGCTCAAGTACAGCACTCAGGTCCTGAGTTCAAGCCCTAAGTCCAACACCAAAAGCCAAAAAACCACTCTTAAAAACACTATAATAGTAAAAAAAATTCTTTATCAATTCTTAACTATCAGTTCAGGTTTGACTAGTTAGTAAGCTCTCCTAATATATAGTAATATCACCTAGAGGTCCAAAACAGTGCAACTATACCTCAGAGCTCCTAATTTATACTCAGGACTAGGCAAAGTAGAAAGACCTGATCTGTCATTTAGTAATTCATTTAACAATAAATTTGATATCCCATTGTGTGCAGTAATTGGAAAGGGCACTACCATGAAAAATACCTTCCTGAGCTTAATGGAATTTACAAAGTTCCTTGGGTTTTATAAAAGAAAGAATACTTTTATGTTGTGGAAAACCTTCTATCCAAGGACACTGACTTCAAATGACCCCTCCAGGATAACCACATGTTACTTGTTCTTCTAGCTAGACACTTTACCAGACTTGAAAATTGAGTAAAAAGCAGTTAAGTACTTACTCTCATAACCAGAGAAAATGTACACCATTCAAGCATTTCATGCGTATAGACACTGATAAAACTAAGTAAGACTTACAGTGATTGAACTGTGTGAGGAAATGTCTCCTCCTTACTCCTATAGGAACAGAAACTTGCTATATTTAAAAAGGAATTTTTAGGGCTGCCAATTTTTTTTTTTTTTATGGTCATGGGGCTTGAACTCTGGGCCTTGGTCCTGCCCCTCAGCTCTTCAGCTCAATGCTAGTGCCCCTACCACAGCACCACTTCCGGTTTTTCTGGTGGTTTATTAGAGATGAGTTTCACAGACTTTCCTGCCTGGGCTGGCTTTGAACTGCGATCTCCAGATCTCAGCCTCCTGAGTAGCTAGGATTACTGGCATGAGCCAGCAGCCCAGCAGGGATGCCAGTCTTAAAATAAAGGTTGTATAAGTGTTATGTGTTTGTTATAAGTGTTAAACATTTCCATCTTTCCTCCCTTCCTTCTTCTCTGCCTCCTTTTTCCTACCCTCCTTCCTTCTTCCTTTTATCAGCAATTTTTAAAGAAGTTTTCAAATAGTTTATTCATTGAGAAATCATCTAATATGAAGCATAATTAACTTTACCTAAAATTTTATCTGTATTAAGGACAAAGCAAATCTTAACATTTTTCTAATCAAAACATAAACAAAAACTGTAAAAATCCGTTACATGTATTAAATTATTGGTAGCACATAAAAGACATTTGAGCCAGGCATTATATTCCCCTATTTAAGATACTATTAATCCAACTATCTTCATGGATAAATGCTTTGTATCACCATGATTTACCTTGAACTAAAGTTTGCTTTTACAGAACACCTCAACTATCCTTCAAGATGTTAGTGCTTAAAAAAGATCATCCTTGGTTGCCAGTAATAAATTAAAACTAAGGTACTTTTCAAGAAAAAATGAGTATCAAAACAAGATGAAAATTACATAGAGGGGCTGGGAAGGTGGCTCAGTGGTAGAGCACTTGCCTTGCATGCGTGAGGCCCTGGGTTCGATTCCTTAGCCCTACATAAGCAAAAAGAAAAAAGCTGGAAGTGGCGCTGTGGCTCAAGTGGTAGAGCGCTAGCCTTGAGGTGAAGAGCTGAGGGACAGCACCCAGGCCCAGAGTTCAGGCCCCACGACCAGACCCAAAAAAAAAAAAAAAGAAAATTGCATAGAAATGTCTACTTTATGAGTCCTAGTCTAAGATACAGGCTTTGTATGCAAATCTAAAACTATGCTTTCTCCATTTCCTTACATTCCATTGTCTAAAAATAATTTCTGAAATAACTTGTAAAGTTGTAAATTCTTTGATTTTTTTTTGGGGGGGGGGTCCAGTTGTGGGGCCTGAACTCTGCCTGGGCGCTGTCCCTCAGCTCTTCAGCTCAAGGCTAGCTCTACCACTTGAGCCACAGCGCCACTTCCGGCTTTTTTCTTTTTGCTTATGTGGTGCTGAGGAATTGAACCCAGGGCCTCATGCATGAAAGGCAAGCGCTCTACC